AGAAAGGCGGGGCATAGAGGAGCAACAATAATGTACAGTATGTGGAAAATAATGTGTTTTTTTACTTTAAACTGCATAAACACATTTCATTACACCAAATACACTAAATAATGTTCTTTTTAGCAACATTATATGACCCCTTTAAATTCTCAATGTAAGCTATTTGCTTTTCGGCTGGACTCCACTAGGTTGAACTTTGATCCGTTGGGTCTGTTTGTACTGGTTGAGAATCGCATCTATTGGCTTTTATTCAGAATTTCTGTCAGATGCGGTATTTACACGGGCAATTTCATGATTAGCCAAAGTGGTTACAACGGTAATATCGGATTTAAATAAATAAATAAGTAAACAAAATAACATAATAAAGAAGTCCCATTTAATAATCATACAAAAGATACGATTGAAATTAGTATATGAAATAGCATATAAAAACTTAAAGTATTGATACTCCAGCTCAGCAATATCATTTACATTTCTTAATTATAGGTTCAGGGGAAAAACCGTATCACAACCTCAAAGTCTTGATGTGCCCCTTATTCATATGTAAATGTAGCCTATTTAAAGTGTATCTAATTACTTAAAAAGCAGAGCTGGGTATTACTTACAAATTGTAGTCCGTTACTGATCCCAAATTACATGACAAAAATTTTAGTTAGTAACGTAATCCATTACACATTTCAGGTAATATAATCAGACTACTTTTTTATTACTTTTAGATTAAATAAAGAATAACCTGAATTTGTGCATGTTAATGTGTTTGAAAGACAAAAGTCTTCCAAAGACTGACTAAGCCACCTGACTAATGACTGGTCTTTGTGTAAATGTCCACAAAACGGAAGACTTTCTGAGTGTGTGTAAGTGGTAGGCTATTTTACAAAGGAAGATTTAAAAGATGGAAAAGAGGAATTAGGGAGAATCAATAAATTATGAGTAATTTATTTGCTATTGTGTGAACAATATGTGTATATATATATATATATAGTTTATAAAAATGGAATATAAATGGTTTCATAAGTGGTTTCATAACTTGATAGGCCTTAAGTATGGAATCAGCTGACTGAAATGCATAAAATGAGTTTTGTAGATAAATATGAATCTTGCCTATAGTTTGGAGAGTAAATGAAAAGCACAAATGATTTTTTATATGACGTGCTGGCCCTATCTGCTATCATAGCTAAATAATCTGAAAAAGTTGCCAGCAAACTGAATTTTCTCCCATAAACATGTTTATTGTGGTTATATGTCTTTTTTTTTACTGTATTTGTGAACAAATTACCATAATTGTGTAGAATCATATTAACATACGTTAACTTTGAACTTACTATTCAGACAAAAACAAAGATGAACTAAAATATAATAAATAATGGGAATTATAATATATAACAGAAGTGTAATAGTTACAGTAGTCTGATGATGTCAAGCTTAATTTTAGACCGATTCACAGAGCCTGTAAGCATAAAGCATGTTGTGCCAAAGGTTTAGTTGCTGGTAAACCTTTCACATTAATAGCTGTAAAGCTACTCAGTACTGGACCACTGGAATGCGCATCTGTGGTTAGAACTGAAGAATTCTCGCTGAGTATTATGGCTGTCTCTGCGATAGAAGACTTTAAAACATGTTCATCATTCTGATGCTTAATCGTATTGACAAATGTATGAGCTTTATGCCCTTCAATCAGCTGATGGCATTCAGTGACAGAGCTATAGTTAATGTCTGTAGGAAATGTTGACTCCAAGATGGTTTCCTCTTCTTCATCATCAGTGTCCAAAAGCTCCATTTCAAACCAATTTGGATTCTTCAGCTGGTAATTTTTAAAAGCTTCAATAGCATCCCGAAGCCCTTGTCCTGATGGACAGCAGATGTAATCATTCTCCCTAATGCCTTCAATGCACTTAATCTGTCCTGGCTCATGTTTTTCCATGTCTAGGATTCGGAAGTAAAGTTCTTCAAAGTGCTTCATGAGTTTGTACTTCACCACGACGTTAAAAGGTGCCGGAACATCATCCTCACTGCACACGTCATCAAAATAAGCCACCATGTACTTGTGGAAAGATGAAGCATGAACAAAATCCGGTATAATGAGGCTCAGAGCCGGCGTGAGCATGTCTCCTATGGGGGAACGTTCATCCTCCTTCAGTCTCACTTTGTGCTCACCGCACATGGCCTTCCACTTGGCATGTACGCCTGGAGAGCACAAGATCAGGACTTTATCTGAGGACTTGGAGATTCGTTCCCTTTGCATATCCAGCCACTGAATTCTGCCGATTGTGCTGAGCCAGGCGGAGTCCAGGAGATCCAGAGTGATGTCTGTGCCACATTTAGCCCTCATGAAGGCACACAACTTTAAGATGATTTCTTTGTACAGGGGGTGGTCCAGAGAATAAATGATGATGACCCTCTTAGGCTCTTGAATGGGATCCCACTCCAGTTTACCCTTTGCACATGTTGAGCTGTCTGAGGAGGGCGTTTCTGTCAAAACTCATGATTATTATTAAGACACAAAAGCTTTGAAACCTTAAAAACATTGAAATAATAAAGAGTGAGTGAAAGATTCAGCAAAACAATTGAAAATCAGGGGCGTTTGATATTGATTGATATATTGAAACTGTGGTTGTGAACTTGTTTCATACCTACTGCTGTTTCTGGGTCAGTGGCAGTGCGAACGCAGATTTCAATGTTACAGTGTGATCAATTGTACTTGTCAAAGATTTAATATTTTAGTGGAATCATTGTCATTTAGGAATAAGATTGTGTGGGTGATTGAATCGAGATTGCGATCTGGCTATTTAAACAAAGCTGCGTTTAGTGGAAAGAACAAGGCAGGGCTGTTTGTTAACTTTTTTTGCATATAGCACTGGTGCTACAGAGGTTGAAAGGTTTGTAGCACAGGCCACACAATTGTACCACAAGAATAAACCATGTTACCATCTCTGAAAACAACCACATGTATTGCAGTTCATTACTTAAACAGGACATAATGTTCTAAAATTATTACAATATAAAAACATTAAACAAAATAAGAAATATCACTATTGTAATAACACTCCTGGGAAGTTAGTAGTTTTACGAGGTGGGAAGTTGTAATTCAAATAAGATGGCAATGCACCTTTTCTGCATTAAATTGAACTAGATTTTTTTTTATCTACTTCTACAAAATGATGAATAAAGAATTTGGGCATTGGGTGTGTTTTTGCTTTTCTTTTCTTTTTATTTTATTCAATTTATGAAGGTGCTGCAAATTGAATTCTTATAGCCTATATTTTATCGTAATTGTATAATACTATTATATGTTGTACATGCAACTTTTTGCGTTTATTGTAAAATAATATTATTGTAAATGAAAAAAAAAAATCAATTATTTAAAAAAAATGCATCCATTTCGTCTGCCAAATATTCTCACAGACAGACTCCCAACTGGGAAACTCAGGGCTTATTATTTCTTGCATTTTTAAACACAAAACACGATCTGTGTCAATCAATCCTTATGGACTATTTTTCATAGTGGAAGCATTCAGATACAATTTCTCAAATCATGTGCACATATTGTTTAATTTGGTTAGTAGTCCTGATTGTATCTGATTACTTGCATAGGATATATAGTGTTTTGAATCATGAAAGTCCATTCCAGTCAGTATATCTGCCTCCACTTTTGAGAGAAATCCAATATCTGCCAAATATTCTCACAGACAGACTCCCAACTGGGAAACTCAGGGCTTATTATTTCTTGCATTTTTAAACACAAAACAGTGTCAATCAATCCTTATGGACTATTTTTCATAGTGGAAGCATTCAGATACAATTTCTCAAATCATGTGCACATATTGTTTAATTTGGTTAGTAGTCCTGATTGTATCTGATTACTTGCATAGGATATATAGTGTTTTGAATCATGAAAGTCCATTCCAGTCAGTATATCTGCCTCCACTTTTGAGAGAAATCCAATCAACAACTGATGTCTACAATCAAGTCTCCACCCTACTTTTTTTTTTACTGTGTTTCATCACCTTAAGTTATGTGCTTATTTAATTGATTGATTTATTTGCACTGACCTTTATGTGAATCCTTGTTCTTCAAAAATATAATACAGCCAAAAATGCAAACAGCAGCTGCCAGTAAAGCCAACAACAGCACCAGTGTCACCAAAATGATAAAAACAACAGGAGCACCTGGAAGAACTGACATTAACATGTTAATAAAGATAATGGTCTACTCAAATAAAATAAACTAGAGGTCAAATTAACTTCAGTTGAGTTCAAGGCCAAACATTGAAACAATTGCATTGCTGTGAATCATAGTTTGAATGCTGGCTAATTAAAAACAGACAGGCAATAAGACATTCAGTGTTAATATGAAATACATACAGGGACAGATATCAACTTTCCCTCTGTATTCCAGACAGTTATTCATGCTCTGAACCGACAGTGGCTGAATCTGTTGAACAAGGCATCTTTTAGTCATTTAGTGATATGACAATTAACAATTATTACCATAACATCATCATACAACTGAATATTATTAACAAACAGTACTCACATATGAACGGTACTGTAAAGGTGATGATACATGGGGCAACTTTTTTGAGCAAAGTTGCTTGTGCACTTTTTCATTGAGAATGGGCAACAAACTTCTGTCTGGATACATTAGATCGGTCGTGGGCCCTGTGTCTCACCTGGTTGCCCGTTGATGGCAACATTGCTCAAAAAGTTGCTCTGTGTATCGTAGGCTTAACTCACCACCAATTCCAAAAAGCAGTGATTTATCCGCCATGCTTCCAGCGTGAAATTAACCCTCAGAAATGGCTTGTTATCCTTTAACACAGAATTAATTTAGCATTCATGCTCATAATATTGCTTCCTATGCTTGATTCTATACACTTATGATGGAACGTACAACAGGTGGCAGTGTGGAGTATACCGCATCTGGGTGAAGGTCAGGACTGCAGATGGAGACTTTGTATTGATCAGAGAACTCTTCTGGTTCAAATTCTATGGTTATCACCAAGTCACCATTTTCTTTATATTTTGGCACTGACCATTTTACCTTCGTATCCCAAATGTGCTCTAAAATGACAAACAGATTTACCTAACAGGAGTACACTTTTTAAGAATTGGACACCACTTTACAAGCATACATCACTTCAGAATTATCCCAATAGGACATAATGAAATTTTTCTATGTTTTATATCATGCTTAAAGCATTTGTTCCAGATAACTTGATGGATTAAATGTCTGCTACATATCTAATCATCAAACCTCAACTGTTTTTTAAAGATTATGCCATTTATTAATTCTTACCTGGAACTGTGATGTTGGTTATCATTGGATAGTTTCCTATGTCTGACTTTGGTAAATTGGTTACAAAAACCTGGTATTTAAAGTTGGGAATGACCACAATTCTGTCCAAAGAAAATGTCCACTGGAAAGATGAAGGAAAGAGACAAAGCTGAAACAACGGTGTGAATAATACCGAATACTGGGGATAATTGTCTCAAAGCACACTTTTTCATATATATAATTATATAAGCATTAATACTCTTACCCTGCCCTGTACTGTTTTTTTTGTCCTCAGTGTGTTACAAAAAATGTAACGAACACAAACGCTGTGATTTGTGAACATTTCAACCACACGCACTTCAGTCCCTTTGAGGGTGAATATACTACCTACGGAAAATAATTTAATAAAAAAAACAAAAAAACAATGCTTTAAATAGATAATTATGCTGACCATCTGTACAGGTTCTGTCAAAAAGGCAATTTGATTGAAATGATTTGGTTATTTTTAAATATTATTGTCTTGTGCACATCTATATGTCATCATACTCGTCTTACCGTCAGGTAACTGTCTCCATGTAATGAATAGAACAGGTGCAAACTGTCCACTGTCATCCCTCTTGGCTGCTACCTTCGCAGTTACAATAGGAAACCCTGGGGCATCATACCTTGGCACCACCCAACCCTCATCTGAACAGTTACCTAAGACCGTCAAAGAAATATTTGACAAAGATATCTTTTATTCTGTCTTTAAAAACCTCATATTACTGTCAATTTAGAGAAGACATCAACTTATACTTGCCTACTTGAACCCTGCATTCTACTCCCTGTCAGAAAACAGCATAATGAAAAATTAAGTTTTTATATGAATAACATTAATGTTACTGGATTAAAGAGAATAAACAGCATCTTTACCTCTTGAGAACATTCCATCGGAGGGAGTTCAATGAGATGCAGGGGTGAGATTTTCATTATGACGCATGAAAGCATCAACAGAGAGAGAAAAATCGCACTCATGGTATTTAATATCTTCTCTGGTACTGCGACAGACATACACTGCTTTTTAAGTAACAGTGACAGATCATCGAACATCCTCTCGCGGCTTTCTTAGATCCTATCTGTATTTAGAGGAAACCAGAAGTTCTGATAAAGGGGAGGAGAAGAGCCTGAAGCACACAAAGACAAAGATTTCTCACGAACATTTTCTGTGTTATTTAAGTTTATCTTAAAATCAAATCCTTTATCTACACATTCAACTAAAAAAGTTTCTGTTCTCAGCCATTTATCAAACTGTTACTACTAAGTTGGACATTAGACTCAAAGTTATAATAACAATTTGGTTTTGAGATGACCTACTTCCACCAGTGAAACACAGAACTAGATCAACTTAGGTTATACTTCCCAATTTTAACAAGCAAAGTTCGACATTTAAACAACTCCATTCACACACACACACACACACACACACACACACACACATACATATAGTATTAATAGTCTATTCAGTAAAGATAAGGAGTGAAAGTGAAGACAACAGCAAAATACTTGCAAAAACAATAAAATAAAATACCGTTTTTAAAAAATGCTTACACATTTTTTTAAAACTATATGGCTCCATTTCTCAAAACACAAAACCACAAAACACACACACAACATGCAAAACGTCACACATATCTTGCGAAAGCAAACACTTCACTCAAAACTATTTTAACTCTTCTAAAAATGGTATTTTTGCGTAGTAACTGTACACACAAACATAAAATAATTAGCCACATACACGCCAGACTACACACAGATGTGAAAAATGTAAAACACTACTCTTGTGTGTCTTTTGAGTGCAGTGGAGTGCACAGGAGTTTGTCATATCACTCACACATACATGCATATGCACGTATACACTGTATATACAGTATGCATGTACAACTGATGAATTTTACACATGCAACTGAGCTGAATCAATACTGAACTGACTTGAGCTGTATAATGACACTATTGATTTGTTAGAGCTGCTTTACAGCAGAATTTGAATTTGATACTAATTGTGAAGCTGCTGTGAATCAATCTATATTATATAAAGTGCTTTAGAAATAAAGTTGACTTTCTGACTTGGCTTGTATGCATATTCAGTATATATATATATATATATATATATATATGTGTGTGTGTGTGTGTGTGTGTGTGTGTGTGTGTACATACACACATAGTAAATCATACATACATATATGTATGTATAAGTGTTTTCAGACATAAAACATGGCTGTAGGTCATCAGTAAATGAGTGTGGCATTTAAATGGCAGTTTCCCAAATGAAACAAAACGAACTGTTTGTTTTGAATGATGTGTGTAATGTAGAGAGTTTTGTGTTTAGAGTTTTTGCATTGTTTTACAATATCAAACTGAGTTTAAAGCACATAATGTACTTGTAGTTTTGCAGACTTGTTCTAAAGTTTAGGTATATGAGTGAATGGTTTCACTGAGTGGGCCTCAAGTACCACTTTTAGTGTCCAAGCAATTTTTTTTTTAAATTATAAAAATCAATTCATTACCACTAGAGGGCGCATGTCAGTTCAAAGATTAATTAACAGGGTAATTTGAATCATTGTATAAGCAATATATATTTATTCTCTCTATCTCTGCAAACAGCAGTTGTGTCTTAGTAAGCTTTATTTTCACACAGAATTGTAACACCATTACCATCTTTGCAAGACTCCCCACAGAATCATGCTTGTTTTCATTACACTTTAAAAGAAGAGAACAGCTCCCTAACAAGCAAACTTCCACATTTAAACACTAAAATGACTTTGTGAGATCTGCTGACACTGATATCTACTGCTACATGCCAGCAGTCAGCAGAGGATTTGAGAAGCTCTTGCAAAACCCTGGTCTCATTCTGTCACACAGTAAAAACTCTAGCACAATATCATCACTGGAAGCTGTAATTAATCGCATGCTGGGCCTACATGACATATCAGCATACAAAGGTCAGTATCCCTTAAATAAAATCTCATAAAAATACTTTCATGTCACATTGTCATTGAGCACTTTGCCATTATGTGTGAATAAGTTGATTTTTGTGGCCTAGAATGAGATTTAAGAGCACTATAATTATACGACCTTGTGTAAATTATAATTAAATCCGTTAGACTTTTAGGATGGTGCTGTCAGTCTCTTCTAAACAAATACACATGGCTGTCTGCCCTCACCCCATTTACACGGCACGCGGGCTCCATAGCCTTGAAGAACTCTGTTTTTATGGTCCTCAAACACAACCACGCAAGTTAATGAAAAGGCCAGTTAACTTTAGCATTTATGAGGAGAACATTTTATTACAACTGTGAAGTTAACAAATCATACATGTCAACAAAATAAGCTTATATGGTGAATTAACAAAGTTACAGTGCAATTAAATTAAATTAAACACTTTACAATGAGGTCCCATTAGATAACATTGGTTAATGCATTTACTAACAATGAGCAATATAATTGTTACCGTATTTATTCATCTTTGTTGACATTGGTTAATAAAAATACAACTGTCCATTAAATAATATTAATTGATACTTTTGATTTTAATAATGTTCATTTTTCATTGTTAGTTCATGTTAATTGATGTAGTTAACCAATGTTAACAAGTGAAACCTTATAAGTGTTATCAATTTAATTGATTTCTATCAGGTAAATCAAAATGAACAAATCTCTAAATTAATCTTTAAAATGTTCATTACTGGAAGTGTTATTTATGTGCTATTATAGTTTTTTTTAAATATTTTGAATTAGCTTATTTTAATTTTTTTCAGTTTTCATTTTAATAGGCCTATTATTTTAAGTTTTGGTAATTTTGCTATGTGCTTTTGCCAGTTGAATTATTTCTTTCTTTTTAAATCTTACAGTTTAAATTTTATTTGTTTTTATTTCAG